GGCACAGCGGTATGTCTGCGGACTTACAACGCTAGGAACCGGGTTTCGATACCGTGGTGGGCAGAGCAGAGATAGCCCTTGTGTAGCTTTGTGCATAATTAAAAAAAAAAAACAAATACACTTAGCGATATCAAACTGATAAATGTATGTTATATTAAACATGTACATATGTAATTTGTATAATGAGACAGGTTCTGCTTGTTCAAAGATGTATAATTCAACATTTCATCTATCTCAACAAAACCTTACCAAAACATATACGATGACAAAATATAAGACCCAGTTATTATAAATAGCGTCTGTAATCTTATATCAGATCACATTAAACATTCAGTACTTGGAGACGGCTTGAATGGGTAATGAAGAAAACTTTAATATAAGTTTAACATAACAGCAAATGTACAACGTTTGGACAAGGTTTTGTCATCATCAGGGACATTATTAGTCTCAAAGTGGATTCCTCGTCATCGAATTCAGTACTTGCTTTGTCTTCCTGGTACTTTAATAACATCACCAAGGTGACGTGGCATGCTGTCGGTGAGGTTATTGATATAATCTACCCTGATTTCATCCCAACTTGTCACTAGAAGGCGCTGCAACTCAGCTACAGAACCTGGTTTAGGGGTCGTGGTTAGCATTTTCCAGCTTAGTTCTGCCAAACAGTTCTCAATGGGATTACAATCTGAAGACTTTGCTGGCTATGGCAATTTTGTAACGTCCTCCTGGTTGAGATAATCCTGTACAATACGTGCACTGTGGTGTTTTCATCCTTGCACCAAAGTTATTATTGTCTCCGTGTGATGCTTGTAGGAGGCGCTGATAACCTTTCCCTGGAGGATATGAAGAGCAATTTTTCCATCATGATAAATAGCTCCCCAAACATGTACTGCACCACCCCCTGTGGGAAAGATAGTCTTCCCTCATCTGTTCTTCATGCAAACTACGAACACGAATCCTACCATCAGCGTTAGCAAGCCAGAAATAAGACTCATCTGAAAAGATGACATGTCACCAGTGTCCTAACTGTAAGTTAGCACGCTGTCTTGTCCAAGTAACACGGTGAATTCTGGTTAATATCGATTTGCAGATATCCCTTGTTGCAAAATAACTTTGTTTGGTCAATGTTCTATTCACTGTTCTAATGGATAACCTGGAATGAATGTGTTCATGCCATTTCTGTCATAAGGTGTTGCAAGACTTCTTTCGACCTTGACATGTTAACTTGATCAAAACACGGTCATCTCGGGCAGTAGTTTTTCGGCGTCTACCAGTAGACTTTCCTTGAACAAGGTTTCCTGTAGTCCGATGACGTTTCAGGATTCCTGA